TAAAATATAAAGAAAAGCTTATAAAATGCCCTATATATAACTCTGACCTTTAATTTTTATAAGCGGTCATTTCACTCTAATTTTTAAACTAACGGCATGAAACGTGATCTGTTAATCATACAATTAGTTATGTTACGCACTTGTAATAGTCGGAGACTACAAAATATGTCAGTTTAACGTCTTCAATTAATTTGTATGATTTTAAATCCTATAATAATGTTTATCGATTGTTGAAAGTTATAACATTAGAAATCGTTACCCAAAATGATAGCCAACAGTTAAGTACAACTAAAATAAAATCAATTTCACCTAGGTGCCTACCTACTTAAAATTCCAACAACGTCAGATTTTTAGCTATTTGTAGCACAAAATAATGTTTTGAGATTAAGTTCTTATACCTGGATAATTTCTGTAATCAAAGGTATATTTTAACCCACAAATGGAATTATTTAGAAAAAAAAACTTATTGATTCAGTTTTAGAAAGACATTTTTTGTGAAACACTGCGTTCGCCATACCGTTAGTCGTTACTAGATATCAGTGCACAATACAGTAAGTACCTACTGGCTACTACCTATACATATAACTGTAAATTGTACGAATAATTACGAATAACGAATTAATTATCTGCAAGATATTTATTTAAATTGTTTAACCAATATAATAGTTTGTTTACTCATTTACTTTTTTTGAAAAGTGATCCATTATTCTTTCTCTACCTCCTTAAATTAATCGTGTTATTTAATCCTAGCCGTTTTGAGTATAAAATATTTCTATTCAGTATACCTACTATACCTGCATAGATACTTAAATTTCTTCACCTCTGTTTACAAAACAGCTACCATTTAAATAAACAAACAAAACTGTATGGTAAAAATGTATGTATAATTTATATTGTTTTAATTTATAATGACGAATACAGAAAAATTGACAGGCAAATAACCGTACAACTACCTATAAAACAAGTTTGAATAGTCAATTTATTGGACGTGTTAAATATTTAAGAGTTATAACTGAAAGCCATAAACAAATAACTAATAAGGCACTTTGGCATTATGTATACAATATACTATGTAATGTATTATTACAATAATATTCAATATTCGACGTAATTATGGGTTGCATGTTTTTTAGAAAAATCGCATGGCACTATATTGTGTGACATTTGGAGAAGATTTAAAGTTAAAACAATTATTTGCTATCATAATATTAATCTCTTAACATTTCACTAGTTTAAAATTAATTTTTTTTGGTAAAAATACTTCTGTCATATAATATTAAACCAGGCACGAGATATAGTCGAATCCAAATATTCAACAACAAACCTTTTTTCGGTCAAAATATTATGAAGGTGACCTACTACCCTGGACAAAAATCAACTGTATAGCGCTGAGACTGTCAAAATTGAATGTACCCATTAATATCTCTATTATCTATAATCTATATACCTATATATTATATACTATTGTCTACACTCTACGTCTCTACACCACGATTATCTATGATATATATCTACATATGATATACCTTATACCTATTAACCAATTAACCTATAAAGTATAAATTGTAGTTATGAAAATATTATAAATATAACTTGTACTAAAAATGTTTGATAACAAAAATTACAAATTCTACCATTAAAAGAAAACTAACATTGTTGTAAGTTTATTAAATTGCACAACAATTTTTATTTAATTGTTAATAAATAAATATTTTTATTTGTCAACATATTTGACTTATTATTTTGAATACCTAAACCAATATGTATACGCGGTATATGCTTACCTAAAAGTATTATAATTGCATGATTTAGCCAATAGCCAGTATGTTAATGTATACGGTTTTACAACAGTCAACAATGTTTATGATAGAAAGAATGAATATTAATTTTATCATCCTTTACGTCCTTAAACGGCGTTAATCTTTTCTAAGAAATACAATATGCAAAATTAAAATATCTATTCATTTATGATTATTTCCATTACTGCGTACCACCAGAATTATAAAGAAAAACTGAATAGTTCATGAAGATCACCTAGTTGTATTATACTTAATGGTAAATTGTCAATATTATTATCGAGCACGGGTACGAACGAATTAGCGATGTATATTAAAATATTTTAGTATAAACTATAGCACATTATTATAAAAAATATTGGAAAAAAAAATAATACATACAACTTTGTATTGAATCTCAATTCAGTGTAATTTTTCTATAATAGGCACTAAAACATTGATTATTTTTTTTCATTAAGTGTATAATGTATACATAATATATACATATCATAAAATAAATTTTAATACTGTAGGTACCTACAGGTACACCGGCCAACAATTTATGATGTATTATAGGCAGTGCACCATGAGAACATTATCAACTGTCACATTGCATAATGACCTAAGCCATGGCTCGAGACCGTATTTTTTTCTTGACAACTTTCATTTTCTCAAAAAGTATAAATTAATATATATACAAATAAGGGTTAATAATTATACCTATAGATACGTGAATGACATTGTATTTCAATTCTTATTTAATTTATACTGTTCATTTATTTGTTTGGACATTTTATACATACAATTATACATCTATTCGAAATGGTACTTAGGTCAATTGTGTAATAAGTATTAACATATGTATTTTTTTTTTACTTCTATATATATTTGTATATGCTTATTCTAGTTATATGAAATATACATAGTACAAATATAGCGAAATATTACTATACATTTATCTACATTGAGGTATAAAAACCTCTTATGAGTCAACTACCTCTTTCTTACCAATTTTGTTTTTTACCAAAATGTGTTTCTGTTGACGAAAAAAAACCGAATAATGATATAGTAAATCTTCCGAAAATGCGAACGGTTTGAACCGAACCAATAGTTGTAAGGGAAAGAATCAAAGATATGTTATGATATTATTATGGAGCCATTTTACCATCAAAAATGAGATAGGTATCGTATTTCTTCAATGTTCAATTTCCTTCAAATAAAAACAAAAAACAAAACAAATATTGACCATTTGAATAAAAATATATAGTAAAATATAATTTATTTATGTATGATATAGAAATACAATAAATTTAATTTACGATATATTAGTGTTATATTACATACTTATTTATAAGAATACAAATCAAATTATTTGAGTTATAATTCCACTCATTTTGAAAAAAATTAAATGTACCTATAATTTTAATATTTAGACGAAAATTGACATGATTCTGATCTAAAAAAAAGAGATGGAGAACATGGAAAATACCTTTCTTGTTTTGGACAAAAATGATTTCTGCTGTAGGTACCTCATTTGTAGAACAGAAATCTAGGTGTCTCTTCAGACACAAAAAAACAGACTTCATTGTAAAATCAATACATTCATCGATCAGTTCAAAATCTAAAATTAAAATAGTTACAAAATATTTTTACATAATATCGGGTTTCACGCGGTTCGGGCACTGAGTAAAATTTATTCTGTGGTTCTGGTTTCTCGTCGAAACGAGGACAGTGGACACACCGACACTGCGCATCGGCTGTTTTTTACTTGCGCTTCATATTATTCATATTATTATACCAGGTGATTCATAAAGACATTAGACATAAAACACTTTAACACCATTGGTTTAAAAGCTATATAAACGCTTGAAAAATATGGTACCCACTGCCCCGCAAAATGTTGGTCAACAAATATTTATAACTACTGATGTCTAGTGATTCAAAATTGTATTTACATACTCCGAAACACTCCGATTTTGCAATAAAAAATTGAAAATGTCGTTAAAATGAAAAAAATTTAAAGATAATAGTAAAAAAACCAAAATTTTTTTCAAATATGTCTCTTCGTAATGACTTAAAATTAAATGAACAAAAACTAGACAACAATTTTAATAGTTATTCAAATATCAAGAGCTGCTGTTTTCTGATAAAATCCCGATTCGGATTAAAATAATAACAATAATAATGTTATTATACAATCACAATATCATAATACTGCGAGCACCGACGATGTAGCAACAATAATAATACACCCGACGACGGGTTTCGAGTGGACTGGCGGCGGCGGCGGCGGCGGCGGGATTGGGAAACACCAAACGCGAAAAAGACTTATTTCAAAACTGGACTACGAGGATAACGTCATTTTGGTAGAAATACGACGGGTGAGCGTGCGACCCGCCCAATCGGGCCGCGACGACGTCACCGCGCGACGTGCACCGGTCTCTTTAGCGGGCGGATGGTCTGTCGTGACGTCACAAGACCGGCGCCATCGTCCGCAACGTTCAACGACGGTGGTTCGCGTTACCTATTGCCAGCCAACCAACGCCACCGCTCCCCGCTCCACCGTGACCCAGTCAGATGACGACCACCACCGCCGCCCGCCCGAGTGCCCGACGAACAGACGAGAGACGACCAGTGTAGTTGTTGTTGTTTTCATCGGCGTTGTGAGTCTACTGTGGTTGCGGTCCGTGCTCGTTGCCTGTCGTAACGTTTGACGGCCACCGTCGTCGTCGTTGTTTAAATAGTATCATCTTCGTCACCGGCTCGGCGGCTCCGAAGAAATACGATTTATTATGTAGATCACGCGAGTACGAATCCCGTCGTTACTCCCCCATTCGAGTCTTGCGACCGAGCCCACCCGCCCTCGCCCCATTGACGTCGCATTATTAGTTTAATTATTCGTGGCTAGGGGTTGTACAATGTCGAATTTCTACAATAAAGTGAGCTTAGCTTACACCAAACCCATGACCAAACGCATGACTTTGCAAGAGATATCACAAGCCAACCAGTGGATTAACGGTGAGAATGGTAATGATCGACAACGACGTTTGTGCGTACCTAACGGCTAATAAAATATTATAATGTATTAAATGAACACAGTGTTGGCCCATTCAGTAGTCTCCCCATGACCGACTCAAACCGTTTACGGTTGCCTCTATTATGACTTAAAAACAACCACTGTCCTTACAGCATTATAATATTATATCCCTGTATTCCTCGTTGCAGATACGCTGAGCGTCAACTCGTATGGAATGCCTCAGTCTGGTTCCACTGTGTCCCAGAGAGAGAGTTCCAGCTTCTTGCCTGTCACTCAGCCGGCCAGTGCGCCGGCATCACCAGTAGGTTCTCCAGTCTCACAGCTGTTATCAGATTTCTCCAACATCACTCTAGATCCCAACTGGCAGGCCATCAAGTCTACTGTACGCGAACGTAATGCTGCCATGTTTAATAACGACCTCATGGCGGATATATACTTTGTCGTGGGCAATCCAGGTTAGTCTCTCATTGACAATATACGTTCACCTAACACTGTTATACGTCTGTTATTGTTATTATTTCAGGACACACCCAACGTATACCATCACATAAGTACATTTTAGCGACTGGAAGTTCTGTTTTTTATGCCATGTTCTATGGAGGCTTAGCAGACACTAAAGAAGAAATTGAGGTGCCTGATGTTGAGCCAACAGCTTTTCTCACATTACTAAGGTTTGTTTTTTATTATTCTTGCTTATCTGTTTATATTGTTATTTTAAAACTGTTCTTTTCTTTGTTTTTCTAGATATTTATATTGTGATGAAATCCAGTTGGAACCTGACACAGTGCTAGCTACATTGTATGTGGCTAAAAAATATATCGTACCACATTTAGCCAGGGCTTGCGTAAATTACTTGGAGACAAGTCTAACCGCAAAAAATGCTTGTCTGCTCCTCAGTCAATCGCGGTTATTCGAGGAGCCAGAGTTGATGCAGAGATGTTGGGAAGTGATTGATGCACAAGTAACTTTACAAAAAAAAGTGCCAGTTAACTTTTCAATATTGAATCTTAACATTTTTTTTTTTTCTAATACAGGCAGAGATTGCATTACATTCAGATGGCTTTGTTGACATTGATGCTGATACGTTACAGAGTGTATTAGGACGTGAAACCATTAATTGCAAAGAAACCATCCTATGGGAAGCAGCCATGAATTGGGCCACTGCTGAATGTAGCAGACGTGAAATAGAACCAACCCCATCTAATAAACGACAAGTATTAGATTCTGCTCTGTATTTACTCAGATTGCCAGCAATGTCCCTAGAAGAATTTGCTAACGGACCTGCTCAAATGGGCATGTTAACATTAGAAGAAACCGTTGATTTGTTTCTCCACTACACTGCGTCCAACAAACCTCGCTTAACTTATCCAACTAAACCACGAATAGGACTAAAACCTCAGACGTGCCATCGATTCCAGTCCTGTGCTTATCGCAGCAATCAGTGGCGGTATCGAGGTCGTTGCGATAGCATTCAGTTTAGTGTTGATCGCCGTGTATTCATAGTCGGTTTCGGTTTGTACGGTTCGTCAACTGGGGCATCTGATTACACTGTTAAAATCGAACTCAAACGTTTAGGCCGTATTTTAGCTGAAAACAACACAAAATTCTTTTCAGATGGTTCTAGTAACACTTTTCATGTTTATTTTGCACATCCTGTACAAGTAGATCCCGAATTGTTTTATACTGCTTCAGCTATATTAGATGGTGCAGAATTAAGTTATTTTGGCCAAGAAGGACTTAGTGAAATAAATGCTGGTTGTGTGACGTTTCAATTCCAATGCTCTTCGGAAAGTACTAATGGTACTGGAGTTCAAGGAGGGCAGATTCCAGAACTAATATTTTATGGTCCAGTTAGTGAGAACCATTAATACATTTTTAAATTATTTCCAATCCGAATTTAATACTCAAGTATATAAAACTACTAAACTCAATTGAAAATATTTCGTGGAAAAAATGTTGCTCCTGTTCGATATTTTGGATCTCTATTTTACCCAATCACTAAACCACATCTCATATTATAATAACTCAACTAAATCGTTAGGGTATAATTTAACATTCTCGACAGTTAAATTTTGCCTATTTTTAGATGTATTATATAAAATTAATATGTACGTTATGCATTTTTTTCTTTGTTGGTAATTATGAGTAGTATTTCGTTGAAATATCCAAACTAAAATATATTTTTTCATTGTTGTTTTACATGTTAATAATTATATAATAAAATCTCTCACCAAACTCGGCTCACATTGTATTCTATGCATAATGTATGTAGTAGTAACTAGTCCAGGGCTCGGAACTTATGCAATCCTTATTTGTATGATATTAGTATATTTAAAATCTAGTTCGATACAAATGTGTTTGTATTGATAGTCCAGGCCCTATCAATTATATTTCATTATAACTGCTTAACGATACCATCACAGTTATTATATTATTAAAAATATTTAAAATGTAATGTTTCGTTAATACTACTGCTAGCCGTTTTTTTTCTTCATTACAATATGTTTCTATATTATTAGAAAAGTGTAATCTATTGACTATAGAAACATTTCAAAATGTCTGTTTCCTATTTGAGTTATTATTTATATACTATTTAAATTAAAACTTTACCTAGGATTTTTATAATAATTTTTTATCTATTTATTTTGTTCTGAGATATTTTGATTTGGATATTTTGACCTATACTCTGTTCTAAAAGAGAATATAAGTTGAATAATGATGTTGGCCACCTGATTTGCGTGTCGGTGTATAAAATCTCCCACTAACAACCTGTTTTAATGGGTGAGCTGCCGATTTCGACGATCTAAAAATCTCTTGCATGATCTTTGAAAAACATGACTAGAGCAGAGTATGAGAAATTTGGTCTTGGCAATGCACTAGCATCAACTGTATGAGAAAAAGTGATTATTCTCTTTTGAAAAAGAGTATTGAACTATGAACTGATATTATTTGTTAAATATACATATTTTATGACGGAACAGATATGCTTGACTTATTAGACATTACTATTTTTATTTTATAACATTGTTAAGACTATTGTTTAAAATAGGGCATATCTTCTAAATGACCAACTGTATTAATTTACAAGTTTTAAATTCCTTGATATACTGCTTTATTTTCTCTTTTCTGTTTTGTGTTGATAAAAATGTTATGTTTAACATATTATGAATTAAGATCAAACCGTTACTATTTCATTAAATTTACTAACAAAACTGTGTCGCCTTATTGTGTATTATTTTAAATAAAATGTTAATAAGCTCAAGGTGCTTCTACATATATAATTATTATTTAATAATAAATATATTATATAGGTTATATTATATTATGTATAAATAATATGTATATTAAATCAATGGTACATATATATATACCAAACTTTGCATGAATTGTTTTTTTTTTTGTTAGTGCGTTACTAATAGCTTATTCACATGCTTGATAATTGATTACACAAGATGATAATTATTTTCCTTATACAAAACTATTTGGACTTAAACTCTACTTAGTAATTTAGAAATTTATCATACTAATCTCTTAATTACTTACAACTTGATACTAGGTTACCATTAATTGCCTGTTTTATGAGCTTTAGCAATGATATTAAAATAGTATTATGATTGTTTAAGTTAATATGCAACTTTCTCATGTAATTTAAATGGTTTTTATTCTTATAACTTTTAATTGATATGACTATGAATATTTTGGAATGAATATGTATTTTCTCAATTTATACCAGCGTTTTCACCAAATTAATTTTCTAATTTTCTCTAAAAATCACTTAAATAATCATTGAATTGTTAAATAACTTTATTTTTAAGTTAAAACTATAAATGTACTTATATATTATCTTCCTTGAACACCAATCAATCATTTTGATTAGTATTTTATTTCCACAGCTAATTAGTTTTTTTTTATGTTAACTTATCTAGGTATTTCTAGTTTATTTTAGCAATTATTTATTTGGTAGGCTGTGATAGGGGTTTATTTTTATTTTGTGTATTTCATATTTTTAAATAAAACAAACTTTGTAAACATATTTCTAGTTGTTTATTTATTTATATAATCATGTACAGTGAAACCTCGATTATCCGGGGTAATGATGGGGAGGGGGTCACACGGATAAATGAAAATCGCGGTTAATCAAGACTTTTTATAATAATGAAATTTTTTATTTAATTATAATTAGAAATACATAGGTACAATTTTATAATAATGAAATTTTAAAAATGTTGATTCAATTATAATTAGAAATATACATACATCCATAATATTGTATACAACAATTAGTTATTAGGGCTTAAAATATGAAGTTATCAGTCTTTGTTTTTTTTTCGTTTGAAATAATTTTCCTTACTTCACTTCTATAAAATGTTCGATTATAACTACATATATATCTACAGTCCATACTTATTTTTAAATTTTCGGAAGAGTGAGCACGGTTAATCGCAAACACGGATGATTGAGATTCTACTGTACTTTTATTGTTTGATATGTTTAGCCACATAGTGAAATTTTTTTTTTGAAATTAAAAACTATTTTTACATTATCTGTTGTATATAGAAGGCTTGGAGTGTAGTTCATTGAGTAGATCACTGTTACAGTGTTACCATAAAATGCTGTACCATTCACCCCCCCCCCCCTGAAATGTCTTTAAAAAGCCTACCTGGGCATATCAAGTAGCTAGGTACCTAGCTATGATCATAGTTATGCCAGTTATGGAAGTGAAACTCATAATAGTCATAATCCAGTTTTTCCAAACAATGTTGAAACATATGAAGAAAAAATTATTTCATCATTATCATCTACTACTGAAGATTCTATGCAGAGGTATTCAAACTTTTTCATCCCACGGCTCCTTTAAGTCTTCACAAAATGTTGACGGCTCCCAAATTATAAATGACAAAAAAATCAATGTTTATATGGTTGTAATTTATATTTTATTTTTATAATTTATTTACCATATTACATATATAAAATAAATTAAAGCTATATTTTAGCGAATGATTGTTGTAGACAATTCAATGTTTCCCAACCGGTGTGCCTCAATGATATTATAGTAAATGTTTTTCGTAAAAATATTTATTGGTTTTCAATTATACTACACGGCTCCCTTCGACACACCTGGGAGCCACGGTGCATAGTTTGAATATCTCTGATCTGATGTATCAAACAAATTCATTGAATAAAAAGTGAACACAGAGGTAAAAATTAGAAAGTCAAGTTTATAATGATCAACTGTAATATAACCACCAGTTTGAATCAAAATGCATTAGTGACATTAAAAGTTTAAAAATGTTTGCAATTCTGTTATTCGTTTTAATGAAAATGAAGTTCTTAATCCTGTTTGTCCAAATAATAAAGTTGAAATCATTTTTTTTGTTTAATACTGAAGAATTGAGTAATTTATTGACCAATATTAATGATAAACTGTATTCTATTAAATAATAACAAAAAACCTATGAAGTTACATAAAGTATATACTTATATCCTACTATAGACCTGAAGGATTAATTTACTAAATGATATTCATCAGCATGGCATTCAGGATCTAATGCCCTTGCAACGGCAATGCATGTCCTATTATATTAATGGACGTGATATTATTTTGCACTCATACTCAAGAGTCAAGAGTATGCTGGGAAGTCTACAGTGTGCCTCATATCAGTATTGCAAAGGATTAACACTAGCTTAAATTAATGTCGAGCTAGTGTATTAGTTCCAACGTTAAAAAATTGGCATTGTCTGTTCAATGATATTTAGTTTATTATTAGGGTCATGTACAGTTTTAATATTTTTAAATGACTAATTTTTTTTAGACAAAGAAATCAACTGGGAATTTTTTAAATATATCTACATTCATTGGTGGTTCCTTGTAAACTTTCACTGGTGCCTCATGTAGTGATCAGTACTTTGCATGGTTTATTGGTTTGTGCGAAATGATCAGATGTAACTAGCTGCGTAAAGATTTTATTAAAATGCTTATAATTGACGATACAGAAATTAGATATATTTTTTTATTTCTTAATAACCATCAACTAATTATTGTGTCCACTTCAAAAGTAGAGGAAATCTTAGATCAGTTTTCTGACTTAATGAAGAATCCTTATATATACTAATATATATACCTACCCAGATGAAAAACTTTCATTGAGCAGTATTTATAATTCTTTAAGTTTTATATTGGTTATTACTTATTAATAACTAATACAATTTTAAATTATTAATAAAAGTATTTGTTCATAGATATATAACAGTATTGTGTTAATGTACCTGAATAATGGACATTTGATGTGTTCTGTGAACTCCATAAAACACTCAATTTAATTCACCTATGTGTGCTGCTGTTTATTGTAACTCATGGAGCAAGTCTCTAGGAACAGCAGAAAACATGAGTCTTACAACATGTTTAGTGTCGACTGTACGAAACGAAATGGACACTCATCAGCATTCAGCAGCATCTCATATTACATCAGTTTCAATCTGGTAGGTACTAGCAGTGTTTGTTCGTTATTCCTGAATTACAGAGAGGCTAGGATTTTCCAGATTTGGGTTATAAATTATGATCTTCCTAAAAGTCCAAAAGACTATGTGTATGTGAGTAAAATTGTCAGTTCTTTGGGTCGCAAAGTGAAGGTTTAATTCATTTCATCACCACAACTGACAAAACAGCCCAAAAAAATATTGAGATAGCATTTAATGTAAATATGCTTAATTTACCTCAGGATCTAAATCTAACTTTATGTGTATCTAATTTGTAATCCATAATATGTTAATGATCAAATATTTAAATAATGTCAAATATTATTAATATTTTGTGGCATTTTTAATTTTTAGTTACCTAGTTCTTATTATTTATAATTAGTGCATGCACCTATACTATATTGTATGGTTATTTAAATGTTGTATGTGACATGGTCTGATCAATTTTAAATATTATATAGGTAACTGTGCTTTGTAATATTATATTTTCTTAGTTTTATTTTTTGTATCTACCTAACATTTATGGGTTAGCTATTAAATTTGTAAATATTTTTTTTTTAACATTAGAAACTCTAAACTTTTTACTGTAAAAATGTACTTAAAAGTGAGTCATTATGATTTATGAGATAAGATTTTATATGGATTAAATAATCTATAATATACATCTAATAATCTTACACAAATGTGTAGGATAAATGTTAAAGTTATACTTGAATAAATGTTTACTTCAATAAAATTATTTAGTTTGTAAAATTGCACTAAAAAAACTAACCATAATTATATGTACAGAATTGTTTACATGTTAATTATTTAAATTAACAATTATTTGAGAGAATAACTATGTTATAAAGTAATTAGTAAGTAAATGATAAATTGCAATATTTTTTTCTTCATGATTGAATAAAGTTTATAGCTTCTGTAAATAATTTATAACTTGTGTATTGATTATTTTACTATAAAAATACATTAAAATCATAATCTCATTACTGAAATTAAAAAAAAAAAACAAATAATAGAACTTACTGCCTATACTGTGTAGGTAGTACAAATGTATAAAGAGTAATGTGTATTATGAATAATGTCTAATTTTTGGCAGTATTATACTCAAATTTAATGAAACAAAAAATACTAAAAACTAAAAAAATAGGCTCTACATTAGATCTTGAAACCTTGACACCTTTTCATTTTAACATTGGAAATATCCAGGAAAAATTAAAAATTTAAACTTATACAAAATTCAAAAATACATAATGAAAATTGGGATGCTCTTTCAGTCATCTTATATGGTTTGAATACTTGCCCAAACTAATTCAAGTTCCTAACTACCAGTTATATACTTATATAACAGTATAACCTATTTTTTATATTACTGAAGAAAAAATTGGAACGACTTTTATTTGCAGTTTTGTATTCAGTAAAATATACTTAATTATAATAAAATAAAAATACTAATATAGTTAAAAACAGTAGGTATTTCAGTTATGAAGAGAAAAAAAAACGAAAACATTTCAAATTTAAATACCCGCCACCACGAATATGTGAATAACTATTACTGCGGTCGTGGTTGTGGTATTGCAATCGTCGTCTCCGCTCACAAGCAAACATGCTTCCGCTGTTATTGTTTTTATTTGTTTATATAAATTGACCATGGACCTAACGTAAATATGTATAGCAAGCACCACCGGCCGGCTAACCTTAAATTTTACAACACGAACCACGAACATTATAATCATGATTATAATAATAATAGAATGATGTTTTCAGTTTACATTCGTTGAAATCATTTTTATCGTTGATGTTGAGTGGTGAGCTCCAAGGGCCGTTCATTCGTTCATTGTTTGGCTGTTGCCTGTCGTTGAGTTTTCGTGTTTTATTCGTTGTATTTTTTTTTTATACGCATTATTCGTGTATTTTTTTTATAGTACTGACGTACTGACGTACTGTACCCTAGTGTCACTCATAAATCGTAATCCATAATACAAATAGTCATATCTGTTGTGGTGTCCCTCGTGTTTTTGCGGTGTAATATAGATAATATTAAGAGTATTTTATTTTGTCATGGTATCCGATATCTACCGACCGCCATTTACATGCATCGTGCCATCGTCTAATCACCGCGTCCGTTATTATTCGACTTGTAGCGTTTTCCTAGCGACTTAGCCACATCATTGACAATAATATTAACTCCGTTTAAGTGTTTTTTTTCGCGTTTCGATAATACGGCGTACGCGAATGCGAATTCCGCTTCAATTAAATGCATGGTTTTTTACTGTTTCTACATTCACATCCGTCTAAACGGTGTCATCCTCGTTTCCGTATGACAATGCACAGAACACGTCGAGGTAAAAATTGTATTTCAAAACATTTTTTCGTTAACTTAATAGTGATTGCTATCTTTGTAGCCTCTTTGATTATAATCAAAATATTGTAATCAGAATTTAAGTCCATTAAATATAATATATAAACTTTATAATATAACATGTTAAAATGGTAACATTGACTATGTGCAGAATTTTGGTACAAGGGAGCCAGCCGTAGCTTTAGCTCTGGCACAGATGTGGGACACGGTAACTATCAGGGCCTATAATGGTCCACAAGGAGCGGTATTAGTCAATAAGGCAAACGAGGAGCTCCCTAAGTTATACTATACTGACAGAACACTAAGAGTGACCCAGGCCCCTACTAACGTGGGCACTCTATACCAGTACGCCTGTGATCGTCAGGTCATTACAGGAAGCATTGGAGGTAGTGATGGGAACAATCAAAATTCAACTTAATATTTTATATACCTAATAATGAAATCCAAAAAAAAAAAAAAATTAAAATAAGTTTGAACTAATTAAATTTGAATTAAAAAAATTATAATATCCACATTTTTCGGTGAAAGTCTATTTCGGCGGTCATTTGTGATTTGTCCAGTTTTAGAAAAAACACTTTCTGACGGTACCGAAGTTGCTGGAGTAGATAAATATTATGAACTTAACTTGTACCTTTCGTGAAATGTTTGTTTATATTGTTTCCAATATTCCAATGGATTTTTTGTTCTTTCCAAGTGCGGAATGTCTAAGTACTGGGGTAACATCAGTGTGATCATCACACTTGGAGTAATAGTAGTTTTTACTTGTACCTAATAATTTTGAGTCAAATTGTTGCCGTAGTGAATTCGATTGTTTTTGTTCATGAGCATTAATATCAGCACTTGCAGTTGTGGTATTTAAATGATCTGGTTCGGAAGTTATGGCACCTAGTTCATCACATATCCATTTTTGAACGTTGCTCGCATTTTCAGTCGGACCAAAAGCAGTTTTTTTAAATCTAGGATCAATCAATGTAGATTTGGCAATTATTTTATTGCCTTCCAAAGACCCCAAACGTCTGGAAACTGCATTTAATAGTGTTGTTTTTAATATTTGACCTGTGGCAGTCTGGCGTTCTCTTCCCAATAGTATACTGCAGGCCCCATACAAGTGGTCATGCTCTCAAATGGTGTCAATAGTGGCATACAATCTTCAATTAATTCCCATTTTATTGCAGTTAAGCCATTTAGAGCACATGGAAGTGATGTTAATGCAGCAGATTAAGGGGCTTTAATCTCGAGGAGTCTTTTCATCATAATTAAACTCGAGTTCCATCTTGTCCCTTTCCACTAAAATATCTTTTTTTAAGGAAATGAATCTGTTTAATGAACTAATTGATGGCAACGAGTTTACTAAATTTGACTGCAATGTTTCATATAGTAACCTTCCACCAACAAAATACAAAAAAACACAAAACTTTTTAAAAGATTCATTATATCGATTGGAATTTTTACTAGCTGATTTTGAATTATCTAAGGCTGCATTGCACAATGATTTTAATAAAGTGCTAGTGTCTGTTTTCTTTAACATTAATTCTGCAGGTGTTTCTTTCCAGGGCGGCATACTTTTCTGTAAATCTTCCAATGATTCAATAAATATATTATGCTCCTTTACATAGTTAGTTATTTTATCGATAATTTCAAAATAGTTTGTTATAAGCAGCTGTTTTTCTCCGCAAGCTATTAAATTTTGTTCTCTTGCTCGTTTTGCTCTCTCTGATCTACTATACTTCATGTTCCTCCATTTTGAAGAATCTTGAATTTGTTAGGTTGAAGTGCAAGGAATAACTTCTAGTGTGATAGATTCATGTGTAGGAGTAGGTTCAACATTTCCCTTATTAGCTAATGTAAAATAGTTTTTTACTGTATTAGTTTGTTGGACAGACCCTTTGAATAATTTTTTTTCCTTGATTTTCTATATGGTTAATAATGTGTCGATAATAATTGCTTAACACCCAAGTCCTATGGGTACGCCCAGCCAATACCCTTTTAAATACTTTAGTATGAATGCCGCAAAAGCAAGTTATATCACTTGTCACACTATTAAACTCCTCGTTAAACTCTATATCATCAGGATCTTCTCTGTTAAATGTTTGATTACATAATTTTACAGAAACTGTTTGGTTATCTAATATATTTTTGATTAAGTCTTGCTTATTATACATTACACTGTCAGTATCATTTTCATTATTTTCGAGATTATTTTTAACATCTTTTTGATTTATCCATTCTGATATATTACGTTCAATTATTTTTTTCTCTTCTGGCAGATTAATGTTTAAAACTTGTTATTATATAACTCTATGTTCTTTAGAAATATTGATCTTTTAACTTGGTTTATTCTTATTTACTTTATGATTTGATTCTGGTGTTTGGTTTATTTCAAATTTATTTGAATAAAGATTTTTATAATACTCTATTACCATAGTCTGCTGTTTTTTATGGCCATCGAGAAATTTGAACTTGGAAATATTTTATTTTGAAGATTCCATAATATTCTTCATATTGACTTTCTGAAATTAAATCAGGCAAAGTATTCCTAGCAAAATCTTCATTACTGGAAATATCACTTTCATTTATTTTACTTATTACATATGAATTGTCAAAACCGTTAGCCAATAAAATTTTCTTCAAACTTGGTTGAAGCTTAAATCTTAAATTCCTCCATGATAATAATCTATTAAAATAATACATTTTACATAAGTAGGTACCTAGGTACCTAAATTTATTTAAATATATTTTAACAATTGTTTTTGTGTTTTCTATGGTAAATAATTATTGAGATGATTATGAATTTAATTCAGTTCATTTACTCGTTCGTTTATAATATTAAGTAATATGGTTTATTATTTTAGTTAAAGGAAATTGAAGTATAGGTCATCATTTAAAAAAAAGAAATCTTAAGTGGTTTTTAGCTTTGTAGTTTATTTGTTGTAATATGAAAGAGGTAATAAACCATTGAATAAACCATATAATTAACTAATCAATTAGCATTTAGCAGTAGGTTTATAAATTTGGTTTATTGAGTAACTTTTTTTCTTATTTGTGAAGTAAAGATACCTAGCTATAATAATATTAAAACGAGTAATGAAAATATAAATTTCATAAACTACCTAACATTCCTACCCAGTGGCGTAACTGAGAATGTTTGATGGGGGGGGATCAAAATAAATTTGTAGGGTAAAATTGTGGGGGCCTTTGCCCCCACGGCCCACACCCCCCTTATCTATATTTTGTATAATTTAATAACTCAACACATGTAAATATAATCATTCTATATTACATAACATTATACATTTACAAATATGTTTTAAAATGTTTTAATATTTTACAATATTATGTCCAGATTCCTAGGCTTTTTGGCAAGTTCATCAATGACCTNTCCCTAAGTTATACTATACTGACAGAACACTAAGGCATTATTCACACTATAGGTAACGCAACAGTCCGATCACGCAACAATCACGGTCAAGTCACGGTCCCTAGTCGTTCATACTTGAACGGTCACAGTACGGTGTCAGTCTAGTCAGTTGTTGCTTGATTTTCACAAGGTACAGACTTTGTTTTCATGGCTACGAAATTTTCTTTGGAACAGTTGGCTTTGATTGCCATTTGCCTGGACGAGGAAGAACGAGAAAATGAAGAGGAAAGTCAACACCTCAAAAGAAAAAGAATATGGATTCATCCGAGTCTTTTAAAGAGAAAAACAGAAGGAGAATTCTATACGCTTTTACCTCATTTAATAGAAGATGAAAAAATGTTTCATGGATATTTTCGTATGAATACTGGTACGTTTGAAATGATACTTTCTAGAATACAGAAAGATATCCAGAAAGAAGACACAACTTTTCGTGAAGCAATCACGCCAAGAGAAAAATTGGTTGTATGTCTTAGGTATGAAAATTAAAACTATTGAATACAACTAATTAATCTAAATTCAATACAAATTATTATTTTCAATGGAATAAAGTTTATTTTTTGATAAATTATTTAATTTTACATGTACAATGTGATTGCTTAATATTTATTTAATATAATAAGAAAACTTTTAATTATTTTTAAGTATTTTATATTAATATATTAATATAAAATTAATATAATATAAATATATTAATAGGTAATAGGTAATAATAATAGGTACCTATAGGTAACAAAACAATTGATATTTTAATTCAGTCGATTAAAATCGTTTGCGAAGGCCATAGCGAATGTTTGAGTATTTTCCGGATATATATACTTGAGGTTGAGATTGAATTGGATTTAATTGCTGTTGATTAGGCCCAAAAACATCATTATATGAGGTACTTGTAGATAAAGCCGAATATTGGGAAAGAACGGGTGACGGCTGTAACGAACGACCATGAATAAACTCAGGTTGAAAGTTTCTACGGTTTTGAGACTCTATATTTTTTGCTTCAATGTCACTTACAAGTGAAAAAAGTTTGGTTTTTACGAAATGTTGATCTGTTGCATTGAATTTTTTTACACTTGTGGCCATTAATGAAAAAAAAATATCGATTGGATGAGGAGATTGTTCTTCTCTTTTTTGTTGGACCAAATATTTCATAAGTGTTGTTGAAGCACTTTCCTTTGTATCTGTATGGGTTATTTTTTTTCTTAATTTGGACGTTTTTAAGCTACTTGTCTGTGTCACTTCTTTATCAACATCTTTGTCAACGTTTTCTTGATTATTATTTTCATTTGTTTGTTCATTATTGCTAGCTTCTATTTCACATTCGTTCGTACTTTCATCCGATTTTTCTTCATCAGAACCGTCACCTGCAGTCATTGAAGTTACACGAGATCTATCTTTCATAAACTGCTTTAAAAAATGCATTTGACTTGCATACTTCCAGTTGGAAATATTTGACGCAGCTTGACCACTTTTAGTTTTTTGTTTATTTTCATTTTTACGGTATTGTGATCTTAAAGATTCCCATCTCTCTTTACACTCTGAACCTATATAATAATAATAATATACAATAGGATGAATTTTTTAATATATTAATATAAATATAAATATTTTTTAAATATGTTTTAGATTTCTTGCAACGGGGGACTCATACAAAACAATTGCTTTCAGTTATCGTTTAGGACACTCAACAGTACAAAATATAGTTCTAGAAGTATGTAATGCAATTAATAACAATTTGTTATCAGAATTTATTCCAACACCAAATAAATGTGACTGGGAAAAAATTGCAAAAGATTTTTGGACAATGTGGAATTTTCCAAATTGCCTTGGGGCCCTAGACGGCAAACACGTAGTGATCGAGTCCCCTGCTAAGAGTGGGTCTTTATACTTTAATTACAAAAAGACATTTTCGATAGTTTTATTAGCTCTTGTAGATGCTAACTATCGTTTTATTTCCGTGGACGTTGGGTCATACGGTAAAAACAGCGATAGTGGAATTTTTGGGAGTTCTAAACTTGGGAAAGCTTTATATGAAGGAAAATTAAATTTACCAGATGATGCTAAACTTCCAGGAAGTGATATTGTAGCTCCATATGTAATTGTCGGGGACGAAGCGTTTCCACAGACAAAAAATTTGATGAGACCTTTTCCAGGAACACAGACACATGATATTGAAAAAAGGATATTTAACTATAGGTTATCACGCGCCAGAAGGTTAGTTGAGTGTGCCTTTGGAATTCTTACTCAAACTTTTAGGTTTTATACAAGAAGACTGAAATCGAACCCCAACAATGCTACTAGTATAATTTTAACCACATGTATACTTTATAATATTATACGAAAAAATAAAGCTAATTTTAATCTCGATGAAACATTAAATGAATCTTCAAATGAAAATCGAATCATGAACTTCAAAAAACATGGAGGAAATGCTCAAACAGAAGCATTTATAGTAAGAAATAATTTCAAATGTTTTTTTAATTCACCAGCTGGGGCCGTGCCATGGCAAATGGATAAAATATAAATAATTATACCTATCACCATTTTATTATACTCATTCAAATTAACATTATATTATAATTTAATTATTTAAAATGTAGTTATTGCTTTATTATTATTTTAGTTTATATTTACATTACCTTGTACATTCAATTGTGATCCAATTTCATTCCAAGCACTTCGTTTACAAATATTGTCACTATATCGGGGACATTTTAAATCATACAATTCTGGCTTATTCCTCACCAGTTCAATCAACTGTTCACCTGCATAAAACACATAATTTACAATACGATATATAATAATAAATTATATAATATTTAAAATAGTTTCATATTCTTAGGTTTATAATAATTATTTTATTCATATAAGTAGTAGGTAAGTACATAATGTCATATTGTCTTTATTTAATTAATAATGTTCATAATAACAACCAATTTCATGTATGATATAGTTGAAAACTATGTTATAAAAATTGTATATTAAATTACTTATTGTTTTTATTTTATTGATCATAAGTCATAATATTAAATATAATGTATAATGTATAATAAATAAAAACATAATGTAATATATTATGAATTACGTACTTTTCTCAAAATCCCAGCCAGTAACTTTGGTTTTTTTATTCATGGTACTATGAATGTAAATGACAAATATCACAAAACCAAAAAAAATTCAAATCGACTGGCACGTGCGCGTTTCTAATTCACACTGATAATTTATCCTAGGAAAGGGCAGGTATCGCTCCGATAAAATATTGTTTGAATTGATCGTTAGCTGATTGTGATTGGACCATGACGTGAGCTTTATCGATAATGTAGACATGCCAATTCAAAAATAGTTTAATAATATTTGACTTGACCGTGACTGTTGCGTGATTGGACCGTTGCGTTACCTATAGTGTGAATAGTGCCTAAGAGTGACCCAGGCCCCTACTAACGTGGGCA